TTTCGCCTCCCTGCATTGTGCCTACATATGCAAATTAACCGCCATCTTTGTTGGCAGTTAATTTGCATATCGCCCTGATTAGCCAATGAAAAGGGTAGTGGTCGTACGCCAATTACCATGTTTCTCTTTTATTAGTGTAGATGACTGCTTACCACCTCCAACAGTACAATGGTGAACCAGTTATGGTGAACCATAGTCTTTAGTGAAGATTATCTTGTCAATTGAAAATAGTAATTACAGAGTTTGAGGATTAAATGAGTGAGATCATGTCAACATTTTGAATTATCATTGGTGCCTTTATAATCATATACAGGTAACTCCCAGTGTCTGAATTTAGAATAAGCAAGGTCCTACATGTAGAGTTTTAGAGCTAGAGAATTTTTGAAAGTTATTCTTATAATCCTTTACCCCCCAAGATATATATTTTCTAAAGTTCTTATATAATTTAGTGGAAAGAACTCTACACTGAAAAATCATAAAAATGCTCCATGCTCCAGACCTGTCACTAATTGCCTGAGTCATTCAAATCATCTACACCTGAAATTTCTTCCTTTTTACAGTGAGAGGGTTGAACTAATTATTGTCTTCCCACTCAGCTCAAAAAGTAATAATGCACAGGCTCAGTTCACCATCTCTGTTGCTACTAATATAGGCTGATACTCGTTGCAGTATCTTTTAATAGCACTTGTTTACCAGTTATGTCATTATGGTAGCTTGGATTTCTCCCCCCTTTCCTACTTTATTAGTTATATTTTAAAATAAGTCATCTATTTTACATTTTACAAGAAAGCCTTCTAAACAAAACAGCACTATTACCAAATTTCAGTGAGATGCATGAAGGGATACAGTGCTCAGCACATTTGCACTTCCTTCCCCTGTATGTCCAGGAAGTGCCCTCAACTAATAGGAGACTAAATTTATTCTGAAATGTCTGTGATTTGATACTTAAGATTGATCATACTGATAACTCTTCTATTTCATTTTCTGTGTTGTCCTTTTCTAATCCTGGTAGCCTTCAAACTTTTGACTGGCCTGCTTTCCCCTTCTCCTCTCTGTAGTGTTGTCTCAGCTTGGCTCTGCCGAGAACAGACCTGAGCAAAGCCTTCCTCAGCAGAGATTCCAGCTCTCCTCTGCCTCCTCTGCCTTTCAACAGCAGCAGCAACAGATACAAGTAATCCAGCAACTTCACTCTGATTACATTTTAAAGATACTCTGCTCCAAAAGTACCTCAAAAAACCTTAGTTTTATTTTATTGTCTTTTAAGACTATATAGTAATAGATAGCTTAGCAAATTTTATTTAAGTGTGACATTTTAGCCAGTCAGATTGGAGCACTGAATATATTTTGTACATTTAAGCCATACTTAATATCTTTCATGAAGTGCTGGTGGCACATTAACATCCCATTTTTGTAGTTTGCATTACATTTTGAAATAGACAGTTGTCAATGCCAATGGTTAACTTGTACTGCAGAAAAAGACAAGAATGCCAGTGTTCCTATTAGTAAATGTCATACCTGTTTTAGAAAAACGTCATTCCATTATCTCAGGAAGTCAGCATATTATAGTTGACTATCTTTTATTTGCAGGGTGGTTTATATTGCTATAAACTATCATACAACAAAATGGTAACTGAAGTTGCTGAGTTACTACAATATAGACTGGCAGGGCAAAGTAACATGTATTTTTGAAGTGTACCAAGAACCATTTTAAAAGCCCTCAGCAGGCTTCTGTGCCACTGGTGCTGTTTGTGCATTGTCTGAATGTGGTATAGTCCCCTTTTGTTATCTTAATGCTTTCTCCCTTTCACTTTTGTTTTCATCTCTCTCAGGTAAAGCACCTGTTTATACCTGCTTACATTTAACGTACCTTGATTTCCCCCTCCTCCCCCCTTTTGCAGCAGTTGCGATTCTTACAGCATCAAATGGCTATGGCAGCAGCAACAGCACAAACAGCTCAGCTACATCGTCAACGGCATACAGGCAGCCAGTCAAAAAGTAAAACGAAGAGAGGCACAGCAACCACTCCAAAATTCTGAGTCTTGCATTATTTTTTTTCTTTTTTAAAAACAAGAGCAATGAATCAAAAGGATTGAGTTTCTACTTCATTTTTGTTTTTTAAAACATAATCAGTATTTTACATTGTTTGATGTACAAACTTTATACAGAAGCACAACCCTATGATTTTTAAATAAAAACAGGGAAATGCTTTAACAAACCATTAGGGTTCATTTGCTTAAGACACTGCTTTTTCAAAATTGTTCCTATACATAAAACATGTTGAAGTGGCCTAAGAAATACTAGAAATGTCCTTCAGAAAAATGTAGTTTGATATTTATTTAGTATGAAAGATTTGTGCACAGTGTAATAAATACAGTTTTTACAAATATGTTTTGAAAACGTAGTTATTTGGCTTTCATACTCTTAATTACTTCATCCATCAGTTTTTTTATTTCTTTGTGCCTTGTAACTGCTCGGCTCAGACAGTCCTGAAGTTTAGCTCCAGTCAGCCCACTTCCACCTGAAAAATTATTGTACCAACACTGTTAATATATGCTATTGTACTTTTAATGATCAACATGTCAAGTTATAGACCTAAACTTTCAGTAATGTAAACCAGGGGGGATGGTTATGATTGCCAAGTTATGTTTTAAGACCTCCAAGTGATTCCAATGCATGCCATAAGAACCACTGGTAAACAACATAAAAACATAAGGAATTTGAGGTAACAAACTGTCATTTTAAACTTGCTGCATTAGGTACATGGTAAAATATCCCATGTTCCATTTGCCCCACTCCTATGTAAAGAAGCTCACATAGAGTTTTCATCCAAATATTTAGGACTGAAATAGAAGGAACATGCCTGGTTTGTGAAGACAACATAGCTTGCCTTCCTCGTCCATTACTACTGTTAGAGTTCCAGTTGCCAGATGTTCCTCCTCTCCAGTAGGGTCCACTATGAGCAGAGTGCTATTTAAAAATTTTTTGAAGTGTAAATTATCAATCCATGAAACATTTTATTTTAGAAGAATACTTCAAACAGTTTTTATACATTTAACTTACTCATCAAAGACCGCAAAGGAGGTAGCAACTGGATGAGTTCTAATGTTCAAATAACGTTTCTTCTTTAAATTAACTTCTGCTAAAGCAGTTTCTTCATTTATAGTAACTTCAGGCAACTGTACTAGAAAGGCAAATATGTTAGTATCTCTAGTGTAAGTAACAAACATGGCTTTTACTAAGTTCACTTTTCCAGAAGTAATCTTTTAGAAAAAAAAATACCTTAGAACATTAAGATAAATACAGTATATATAAACATTTTTGTTAATTTTGAAAGACTAAAATGAATGATGGCTAAATCATAACAAAAGCCTAAAAAGTTTGAGAAAGTTTAACAAAACAGAATATTCTGACACAGGAGGAATATTGCCTTTTATTAAGATTGCTTACCATTTTTTAAAGCTGCCAACAAAGCACATGTACAGGCATCCAAAATATTTCCATCATAGTCAAGGCAAATGAGATCACAGTATAGAACCCAAGAAAGCTAAAATAGAGTTTACACAAAGCAAATTAGTCTTCTAATGGGTAGAACATGGGATTTGCTTCAACTTATATACCACAGAACCCTTAAACAAGATAACCTTCAAGGCTCAAAAACTTACAAAGAAAAGAAAAACCTTTACCTTTAAGAAATAAACCAAAAAAAGTGGTTATGGTTGATGAAAGCTGCCTTCTGACTACCAAGCTGACAAGTGACAAACATTTCCATTCTTGTTGCTAAGTCAGATGAGGGAAATACTTTAGAAAGTCCCAAACAAAAATCAAAATATACTTTCCCAAAGAAACCTTAATACATCAAATAGGGTCTTAGTAGGGTCTGGCTGGTGTTCCTCAGTGGCTAAGCGTCAACCTACAAACCAGGTCAGTTAGATCCTGGTCATGGCACATGCTGGGATTGCAGTCTCAAACCCCAGTAGGGGGAACTCGGGAGGCAGCCGATTAATGATTCTTGTCATTGATATTTCTATCTCTCCTCCCTTTCTCTCTGAAGGGGGGGGAGAGGTGGCTGGGGGGGGGGGGGGGTTTCCGGGTCGAACGAACCCTCTCACAGGGGTCGCCTAAGACCATCCTGCATATCAGATATTTAATTACGATTCATAACAGTAGCAAAATTACAGTTATGAAGTAGCAACGAAAATAATTTTATGGTTGGGGGTCACCACAACAAGAGGAACTGTATTAAAGGGTCGCAGCATTAGGAAGGTTGAGAACCACTGTTTTACAAGTAAATATGTAATCAAAGAGAAATTCTAGTCAACTTAGTTCTAAGTTTTCCAATAGAGTTAGAATTTATAGTGCCTTAAACACATTAGCTAATCAGATACCAGTAATCTATAAAGGAAAAAAAAAAGAATGTTTGTGGTAAAAGGGGAAAAGAATTACCTCAGCTTAATGTAGCTTCAACTCAGGCAATAAATTAGTCAAAATTGGTTGTCTTTATATGAACTACATAGTTACAGATTAAGGCATGTTTTTACTGAACTTCATCTAAAAATAAGACATCTATCTGTATTGAAGGCTACTGTGGTTCTGTTAATTTCCCTGTCTACTCTCCACAAAACAATTAATAAAAGCTTATGGTTTCTCTATTATTCTTACCTTCCCTGGAGAAATGCATAAGTCCTCTTTCGGAATTATCTGTGAACTGAATGACAACACAGTAAAGGAAAGGTCAAAACTGTCCAAAAACGAATGATAGTAATACTTTATCACGATTATCTTACTTTTCAATGACATCTGCAATGAACTGGCTAGCTACTTGGGCCTCTTCTCCAGGAGGTCCAGACCGAAATCTCGACGAACACAGAGGTGGTAGATCCACATTAGGAACTGAAAGAAACACTCTGCAACTATGAAATAAACTTCACTTCTGGTTTATGAAAGTGTTAAATGTAAATCCACTGCAAGGGGACTGTCACCATGGATAGCTTTTTCCAAGTGGAAAGGATTATAAGACATCAATTATATTTTTAGTCTTTTTAAGACTATTAAGCTTGGATAAAGTAAAATCTATATTTCTGACTTTTTACCACACAAATACATATATTTTTAAAAAGCATTTAAGGTTTAAATCCTTCACAAGTTTTCTTTCTTTCGAAATACCTCAATCTGTCGCAGAAGGTAGCCCCTCTACTCATACCCAACTGTTCTGCATTTGAAAAATATTGGTTCCTACCATAAAAGGACAGCCCAAGTCAAGAAAAATGATGGCATAGTGGGCCTTGGCCGGGTGGTTGAGTTAATTAGAGCATTATCCCCATGCACAAAAAGATTGTGGGTTTGATTCCCCAGTCAGGGGACAAACCTAGCTTTTAAGTTTGATACCCGGGTGGAGTGTGCTGGAGGCAACCAATCGATGTTTCTCACATTTATGTGTCTCTCTCAATAAAAACATATCCTTGGGTGAGGATTAAAAAAAAAAATCACAGTCTCCAATTACAGCCTTTTCCTAGGAGATTCTATTTTTTTGGTTGATGACATCTGAATGTATAAACAAAAACTGATTTGAACGAGTTTGAAAAATTACAAAATTCTCTTATGTTATCTTCCAGTAGAAAACTTCAGGAATGTCTGCTTCATTCCTATATATTTTGATTATGAATAATTTTCTCAACTACTAGTACTTAACTACAATATTTGTATTAAATGTGTTAAAGCATTTGTATTAAAATTACAAAATCGTAACTTACCAACATATCCTTTATCAGGGGCATCTGGTGGTGGTGCTGCAAATTCCTACAGAAGCAAACAAATGTTTCCAATCAAAGAAGCTACTAAATAATTGTGAAGAAAGCCTTAGTTATGGAAGGCTCTACCAAAAAACATATTAACTAGTTTACCACATCATGAGCATCTACTATGCTTAGGGAGTTGTGTCAGGGACTCTAATGGCATCAACACTCACTTTAGCTCTGCAGTAATGAGGCAGTACAGCATAGTTGCACTACAGTGCTACTCATCAAAATTAAAAAATATTATTTGGATTTCTCCTCCATCCTCACTTGCACTAATTCAGTAGCCACGAATCTTTAACTTAAACCCCAATGTGATACTGGCACAGCCAGATTTAGGAAATGATGGTAACAGATAAAGGAACTAAGCAAAAGCTCTGGAATCACCTGTTTCATATGTCAGACCCATACTTTTTGGCTGAGAGACTTTGGGTAAGTTACTTAACCTCTTACCATTCAATTTCCTCATCTGCAAAATGGGAAGTTAATGAGATCTACTTTTAAGGACTGTTAATGAGGGTCAAATGAGATAGTGCTGTTAAGTCCATAATATAAAATTTGGCAATTCAAATCTTATTGTTAGATAACACCCCAGCTTTACCGAGGAAGAATCTGAGCTTGGGTGAAGTAAGAGTGCAGTGTAGTTAGAAGTTCTATTTATTTATGAGCCTTATGTACCTGGACAAGTTACTGAACCTCATGTAAAACAGGAGACAGAAATTATACCTCAAAAACTGTTCTGAGGATTAGACTTGATTTTGTAAAGTACCTAATATAAGGTGCCTGAAACATAACAGGTACACAACACATGGTAGCTATTATTCCCTCACAATTTTCTTTTGAACAATCTCAATTTTCTACATATTTGCATGGATTAAATACCACCACTGGATAAAAGGATGTCACCAAAAATCTCTTAATCTCCCAAATTCTTAAAAAAATAAAGGTAGTCAAATTTTGAAAATTACTTGATTTCAAAACATTTGATGAATACCCATAAATTATAACTGTGTCATTAAACTTGGGTCGTCTTATCTAATACTCAAAGATGAAAGCTCTCTGGAAATGAAAAATACTAAAAGCTGACACCTGACTGCCTGCCTAGTCAACGGAATTACTAGTGTATATTATAATTTAATCAGTATCCTATATAATAAAACCCTAATATGCAAAACCTATGGCGGTGGTGATTGCAGTGGGCAGGGCTGGCCAGTGGGTGGCGCCCGGCCGCCAGTCGCCCCACAGATGGGTCTTGATAACTGGCCAAGTCTAGGGACCCTTCCCTATATACTGGGAACAGACTCTTAGATTTAAAAATTAGAACTGGCAAGGCTACTCCTCAACACTAAAAAAACAGGATGATGCAGCAATGACATGCATGGACTCTGGCTTGCACATTTTGTGGTCGGCCCTGATTCTGACTACAACTGTGTGACAAAGCCAATTACTTAACTTCTCTCTGCTTCACATTTTCCACCCATAAGATAGGGAAAATGGTACTACTGCCCCAGAAGGATCATGTTATGTACTACTTTTGATAATCAGGGCAAAAAAATGTAGCTGCCCATACAACAGCAAGATGCCTTTCACCTGTATGAAAAGTATGGTCACTGGTGCATGCAGCATCCCGGATTGCGAGAGGGATGTCTGACTGCCGGTTTACCCCCGATCGGCAGTCAGACAAGGCCACCTCACCACTCCCCCGCACGAATTTCGTGCCCTGGGCCTCTAATATGAAGATAATCTGGTAACTCATTTCAGTAAAACATATATTAAACCTACCGCTTTAATTCCACAAATGACTGCAGTATTTCCCAGCTTCACTAGAGCAGAACCATCTGCAGTACTAACTGAACCTGAAAAGTATTTAAACAAAATTAAAAAGTCCATAAAAAGTGTTTTTGTTTTCTACATGATTTTATATTGCTACATAAGCCAGTAGCTTATGAAATTTATTACTAGCTCACGTTTTTTAAAAGTGGTATAACTACTTAAAACTACTGTTTTAAGAATTATTCACCTTTCCTTGAATTTGAGCCAATCATTTTTTTGTTCAGGCACAGCAGTGCACAGATAAAAAAATCTCTTTACACAAAATCACTGGAATCCCTTAAACATGGTAGAATTTGGCCAAAATACTGTTTAAGTGGCTCAGAGGCTAAAATTTGCGAATGCCATAAAGGTAAAATTGGAAAATTACATATTTGCAACAGCAGGTTTAAAACATAACAAATCCATGTTTTGGAGGTATGGAAGGAATGGTGAAAAACTCTTTATAGTTACTTTAAAATTGTAAATAAAGAGCATATAAATTGAGAGAACAGTGAGTTTTAAAAAACCTTTACAAATAAAAATTCTTTACTAGTATTAAAAAAAAACAAGAAAAATTATATTTTCAAAACTGAAGCAACTTCAACATTCTTATTTTAGAACTCAAAATATCCTCACCTATGTTAACAGTTGTGGTTCTGAATTCACCAAGTTCTCTTCCATCAGGACGGCAGTTCTCTTTCTAAATAAATTTATACGAAAGTAAAGCATATCTATGTGTGTATTTTATACAGAACCAGGGAAAACACATTAAGCCTTGTTAGTTGAAATTACTTTTGAATTTTTTTATGTAATTGACACTAGAGGCCCGGTGAACAAAAATTTGTGCACTGGGGGGGGGGGGGGGCTGGGGCGCCACACCCTGTCACACACAGAGCCGCAGAGCGATCAGGGGGTTGGGGTGCCTCCACTCTCACACTCAGGGCAGGGCCGATGGGGAGGTTATGGCTCTACCCCGTCACACACAGAGCAGGGCCAATGAGGGGTTTGGGGCACTGCCCCGTCATGCACAGAGCAGGGCGATCGGGAGGTTGTGATGCCACCCTAAGTCACGCTCTAAGTAGGGCCGATTGGGGGGTTGGAGCACCATCCCGTTACACTCAAGGTAGGGTTGATGGGGAGGTTGCGGTGCCACCCACTGTCACACACAGAGCAGGGCCAATCAGGGGGTTGGGGCACTGCCCCTTGTCATGCACAGAGCAGGGTCAATCAGGGGGTTGAGGAGC